TTTTTTTAACAAAATTATTAAAATATATCTCAAATTATATTTTTTACTTAGAAAGTATATAGTTAAAATTAATATTTAAGATTTTATTTTAAAAATAATGCTTTTAAAAAAATTTCAGGGAAAATTTGCAGGAGAAACAGTTTAAGAGATAACAAAAAAAATAACTTGACTAATTTATTTTTTTTATTATTTATTTATATAAGATTTCTGATAATATAACTGTATAAAGTAATATATCATTAATAAATAGTTGTTTTCAACTCTAGCTATGGCTAAAAATTTTTTTCTTCACTCTTCTTTTAGTAGGATGTCTTAGGCATTTTTATAGCACTTTTTTAAGTTTTTGCAAAGGATTTGAAAGTGCATAGGGTGACAACTCTTAGCTGTATATGTTTATTTTTCTTTATATAGCTTTAGAGGTATGTAAAATGTAATATATCAAAATCGAGCAACTGGAACTTTTTGTGGCTACATTTATTGTGAATATTCTTGTTTGATTGTTCAAACAGGGCAATATTCACTTCACGTTTTATAGAAATATATAATTTACAAGGCTGGCGAATATAACACAAACATTTCATAATATCCTGAGAAAGTACAACTATATCGTATTTTTTCAAATTGGCTCAGTAGCAAAGATATTTACAATCTGATTTGTTTAACGTATTATATTTCATGGTTTCTAATAAGAGTGTATATGATTCAGAATTATATCAAATCCTTTCAAAGTGGCTTAGTAGTAAAAGCCTTTAAATCATGGGATGATACCATCTGGTTTGTCCTAATGTATTGCAGTATTTGCAATAGGAAGATAAATAATTGGTGTCAAGAGACATTAAAGTTTAGATTTAAATAGAAAATTAGCGTGTGGGTTTTGGATGTTGCGGAGTCTTTAAACAGACAATGACTAAAGTAGTATGTGTGGATTACTTACCTTCGTTGATATGTTAAATGTACACCTCCTGTAATAAGGCGAATTAATATCTTAAATAAACTTCGACAGATAGTTCTTTTCAAAAAACGAATTACATTATAAGAATGACTAGTATTCGAATTGATTTTCTAATTAGCATAGCAGGCTTTTATTTTGATAGTTTTTGTATAATTGAAATAAAACATAAATCAATAGAAAATATAATTGTAAATACTTATGTTTATAAATCCGGATTAATTAATTAATCGTTTATTATTATGAAGATTTATGAATTCAAATTCAGTTAATTTTGAATGCAAATCTTTTATTAATCAAATTTTGTTTTTTTTTTCAAATAACTAGACTACCAATTATAAATACTAAGTGTACATATACTTTAAATTTTTCTTTTTATGTCCTTAAAAGTTGAGAATAACTCATCGCAGTAAGTTATCACAAACAACTCAAGATATTTTAAAATACAAAGAATCAGATTTTTTGGTTCTATTCTGTATTTAGAATATCCAATATATTTCAAGTTATTGTCATAATCAAAGCGGTTCTGAATTCACAATATTTAGCTTATTTATTTTTTAACTTAGATGTGCTAGACTTTTTAGATAAAAAATCATAAAATGCCTTTTGCGGCAGTTCAATATTTCCTATTTTAGAAATAAAAAGATTAGAAAATAGAATTATAGAGAAAATGGTTGCATTTCAAAAGTTAAATTATTACCGATCATCTTCATCCTCTTTTTCCCTTCTTTTTGCTTCTCAAGTAATTTCATTTTCCTGGTCACATCTCCTCCATACTACATATTTATTTGATTTGTCCGGATTACTTAATTTTTACACCTAGATAGCAAATACTACGAACTCTTAATTTATAATACTTACACATTTAGCAGTTACATTTTTTCGCATTGCTGATATCCTACAGTATTGATTATTATTGTTATTATTTTTAAATAGTTCCTAAGCAACAATGAATCACTAAATAACTTGAGTTACTAACGTTTCTCTAGCCACAACTTTTCCACCAACTGATGTTTGAATTACTACTTCGTATAATTGCCTTTTTGATGAAAAATTTCAATAAATAATTTAGTTTTTTTTTATTATTTAAATATTAGTTTTTTTTTTTTAATAAAATTTTTTTTACTTGGGTATAACTTCACTCAATTTCTTTGCCCATTCTCTCCCAACAAATGATACTTGAGAGCGGTGCAATATTGCAGAAAGCGCATCTACTGGCTTTCTGTTTATCATGACATTCATCTAGTTTCATACCAAATAATTATCAATATTATATGCTACAAACTTTAAACAAATAATATAAACCTAACCTTCACAATATCAGATTGTTGATATCCCATGTCTTCATAATCAAAACTATGATTAAAATATAATTAATTTCTATAATTTCATGAGCCTCCAATTAAACAAAACTGAAATACCTCGCATAACCGCTCGATCGTGATTTCAAATCATCATGAAAATCCGTTACAATTTCAGCCAATGGCATAGAATATCTCATAATAACTCGTGTCTCGTCTAAATAGTTATATTCTAACTGTTCGCCTCTGCGGGACTGCGTATACATATTTACAAATTTAAGGTAACTATCTCAGATTATCTCTGTTTTTCTTGTAAACATAAAAAAATAATATTGCTTTATAATAAATCAATTTGTTTTTATTGCATGCGTACACCACAAAGATCCATTATTGAACCTATATATTCCTAAAGATAAATAATTATTGATAAGATATTCAGAAAGTGTAAATATAATATATAATTATAATATAATCTAAATCACCTCCGGAGCAATAACAGTCACCATAACCATTGGTTCTTGTAGTCCGACTATTTTGTGTGTCATTTCATTTGGTTCAGGAAATTCTGATGGATTGCGGATTAATTTTGATGTACCATCTCGATAAATGACTAATCAATGAAATTAAATTTAATTTAAATTTCTATACGTCGAATGTATTTACAAAATAAAGCTAAAAATGATCAAAAGAAACTTTTGCAAACTTTTATAAGGTACAGTTGGTTGAGTAATTATGACATTAGCGTCATATTCCTAGCATATACAAATGTTCATGCATGACTTATTAAGTTTATTCACGAAATAACGCGTCAAAATAGATAAAATGATTTACAAATACCTCCTCTAGCCTTTGCTGAAAAACATCCATATGCAGTGTTCCTAAAAATCCAATACGCCAGCCTTGTCCTAATGCTATGCTAATTTATTATAGTAATTGAAAGAATTAGAAAATAATTAGATGTTTGAATAAAATGTGATTTACATAATATATACCTAGTCTCTTTTTGAACCGACACACTAGCATCATTCAACGTTAGTTTTGCAATAGATTCATCCAGCTTAGTGAATTCATTGGTGTCTATAGGAAATATACCCGCGAATACCTATACTTATCAAAAGAAATTTGTAGTTATATATTCTAATAAATGTTGCGCAAAATCCGGCAATAATAGAATCATTACCATTGGTTTGGCTGGTTCAAATCCCGGTAAGGGATCAACAGGACTTTTAAGATGATAAAATGTATCTCCAATATATGCTTCAGCTGCTACCTTCATATTGCATATTACATATCCCACTTGACCAGCATGCCTTTTATTTCAGTATAGTCATACATTACAATATGAACCTATAAGCGTATTGGTTAAAAAAATGTATTTAAACACTCAAATGCATACAGATATCCCGTTGGTACTTGTTCTGGATGCATAATTCCAATATCAGCAACTTCATATTTATGTCCTGAATATGCCGAGACAATCTTATCGCCTACAACATCGATAAAAAAACATTAATGTAAGAAAAATATTTTCAAAGCGTATTATATACTTATGTATGCTTACAACAGACCTTTTTGTAATTTTCCATTTACTATTGCCATTAGGCAAACAACCCCAACATATGTATCATACCATGAGTCAAAAAGAAGCGCTTTCAAAGGCTCCTTTACATTTCCAGTTGGGCTATGAATTAAAAATTAAAAAAAACTACATTATTCCAAATAATATTATGAGACAGTCTTAATATGCAAATAAAGTCTAAACATATTAAATTACTGAGGAATTTTTTCTATCACGTTTGGCAAAATTTTGTCGACATTAAGGCCAGTTTTTGCCGATATCTAGAGAAATAATAATTATAGTTTTCATTGTTAATTTGAATTAGAAATACGGATACAAATAAAATAAAATGCTAATATCTAACCAATGCAATATTTCCAGTGTCAAGCTCAAATGTACTTTGGATTTGCTTTGTTACTCGTTCAGTGTCTGCAGCTGGAAGGTCAATCTATATAAAATAATAATGAATTTTGATTGCTTTTATTTTCTGAAAATGATTAAAAAAAAAAAGAAAAAACCTTATTAACAACAGGGATTATGCTCAATTCTTGGTTGTATGCTAGCCAGAAGTTGGCGACTGTTTGGGCCTGTAACCCCTGAGCTGCATCAACTAGTAGAATGGTCCCTTGACATGCTGCAAGAGACCGAGATACCTCATAATTGAAATCTACATGACCCTAAAAAACGAATAGACATGCCAGTTTAAGTCGCAAGAGATAAGAGAAATTTACAACTACAGTATTCATAAACATCTACCGGCGTGTCAATTAAATTAAGTAAATATTGTTTATCGTTATATTTATAAAACATGGAACATGTCTATAGGCACAGTTTAATTACAATTAGTAGGGAATTTGAAGGAAGCGCATTATGTCCAGAATACTTTTTACCTGCGCCTTTATCGTGATACCTCGTTCTCGTTCTACTGTGAGTTTGTCTAAAACTTGATTATGGGAATGATGCTTATTTATAGTGCCTGTCAATTGCAAACTAATAAGTACGTTTGAATACTTAAATTACATAATTAATGTGAATTATTCCTTGCCTGTAAGTTCTAAAAGCCTATTAATGCGTACGTCGAGCGATTTAAAATTTTATTATCGTTTTTATATTTGACTGGTTATTTTTTTGGACACTAAAGATCGAGGAATCTTACCTATCCGCTAGTGTGCTTTTGCCATGATCTATACCGAAGGACCAACGATAAAAAAAAAATTAAACCCGAAAAGCTGATTTCTTTAGTTCTCTATAAATAATATCAAGCTTACCTACCAACATGAGCAATAATGCTAAAATTACGAATATTTTCCGCAGGAATTTTTGTCAAATCTATGTCGTTCTTGAATAAATGATTCGTTATTTAAATATTTATTAGATCCTTGATAATTGAGATGATTGAAAAACTTTTCTGGAAAGAATGAGGCTATGTACTAATACATTTAATGTAGATTGCCATCTTTTTATATGCAGTCCTTTATAACACCTTTCACGACTTCTAAAATTATAAAAATGTTTGGAAAAACACGATCGATTTACTAAAAATCTACAAGAAAAAGTTTGCGCTGAAAAGTTTAAATTCTTTTGTAATGTAATTTTATTATATTTGTATACTGGAAAAGTTCTATCAATAAATAAATTTATTGCACGAATCGTCATTTCTAAAATATAAAAAAAAGTTGAGAATTTTGATTTTGATCATGCTGATCTTTGACAAAATCTTAAATAGATCCGATTTTCTCAGCTTACTTTTTCCTTGTATGTACATCGATAACTAATGAAAATACAAAATCCAGTGGTATTTTCATATTTCATAAATATATTTTCATGGATACTTCATGTCAATGATTAATTAAATAGTTTATCTTTCTCAACATCAAGTTCCAAAAACTTTTCGACGCCGGTCCGGTAACAAGTCTATATTTTCACAGCGACACAATACTATTTGCTGGTCAAGGTCCTTATCTAAAGGCCTTTTTTATTCCGACCGGGGAGCTTTTAGCCAGTAGCTTGGCTCTGGAATATTGGCGGATACATAGAATTGTACCAGGTATTTACTGGATAAAATTGATTAAAAAGAGAAATAAAATAGTTATAGCTTTTTAAAAAAAAATTGCAGCTAAAAATATAGAATTAAATGAAAGTATTGTTGAAAAGAAATATAAAGATGACCAATATTTACCAAGTGTAATTACGGAAGAAAGAAGGTTGCTGGCGATATATGGATCAAAGACAATTCATCTTATTGAAGCCATTATTAAATACGATACAGACAAGTATGATATTAATTATAATATCATTTTATAGTGACCGTGTCTGAATTCTGAATAAAAAATTTTCAATTACAGGATAAAACCACCAAGATGTACATTCAGTATAATATCAAAGCTACCACCTTTAAAAGATTGGATACATGATGCACAATGGTTATATGGCAATTCTAACACTTCCCTAATTCAAGAGATATCTTCTGTACGAGAAATATTTGATCTATTCATTTATCTTAATATGACCTTTCATAATATAGTGTTTATTAACAACGATAATTAAAAAAGTTTATTTTTCAAAAATTACCTCTTAAATAATTAATAGTCTCAATCAACATCCAATCACACAACCATAAAATCAAATAATCCATCAGAGTTAGCTGTTGCATTTGCACACAACTTTGTGGAAATATGGAATGTCCAACAAATGTGCTGTGTTTATTCAGTTCAATGTGAAGATCTTTGTATATTATGTTCAGCAAGATTTCTTGGTGATACAAGGGATAGTTTAATATTAGCATCAGGAACAGCTTTTAGCCAAGTGATTTTATGGAAAATTACACAAAAGAATGCGCAGGGTAGAGGTGTTGTGTTTAAGAAACTTATCGGCCATGAGGTATATTATTAAAAAGTATAATGTGGAGATATATCAGGGATTTTTTTTTATTAATTTATACTTTGTACTCAATTTAAAGGGTTCTGTATTTGGTGTGAGATTCAATGAAAATGGTAAAATTATTGCATCAGTATCCGATGATAGGACTATTCGTGTTTGGAAGATTACAGATGAAAAGTTAGCTATTACCTAATTGTTTATTATTTAATCCTTTTTGTTAACAATATTACGCTCATAAATTTTATTTGAATTATAATATCTTATTTATAGTCCCAAACCTTTAGTCCTATATGGGCATATGGCACGCGTATGGGATTGTCTTATATTAGAAGACCATCTCATCAGTATTTCTGAGGTAGTATTCTTAATATCTTTTGGATATGCTTTCATCCATTTAATATTATCATCAATGTTAATAATGCCAGGATTCGACATGCCGCGTTTGGCATAACAGAATTAATAAAAGCATGGATGATGAAAGTGATGTTGATTGCTTTGCCTGTTGGGAAGGTCATGTTGGTAAAAATATTTGGGGTTTAGCCGTTAATCCATCAAAAACAATTGTGGTAAGCAAAATTGTTACAGATAATATAAACCTGATATACAACTCACAAATTCTGCAATTAAGGCAACGGGAGGTGGAGATTCTGGTATTCGATTGTGGTCTTTATCATCTGTGACTAATAATAAAATAGGTATTTATGCCGTCAAATTGAGTCAATATAAAAATATAATTCAATAATACTTAAAGCTGTATCTTTGCATAGATTCAGAAAAGGATTTAATTAAGATTATATTACCACCTGCCGACACCTATACCCAATTGAATGTATGTCCATGTTTAGTGTTCTTATCTATATAACAATTGTTTCTTATATTTGAATGTTTTCACTCGCAAAGGAGACCAATCAAATTTCTTTGCCATCAAGAGAGCACATTCGCAATTTTGTTCTCGTAGATTATTGTACAATTGTAATCGCTACAAATTTTGGGTAATGCTATTAATTGGCCTAGTTTCTTTACATATACATTATAATAAATTTATAATATTTATATTACATTTTAGATACTTGTTAAAACATAATCACATCACTAATGAGTGGACACCTTTAAATAGCTCGACTAATTTGCAAAATTATACAATGATGAAAGCTTCAAAATGTGGAAGAATTGTATGTTGTGGAAGTATTGATGGAAATGTATATGTTGTTAGTGTGAATAAGGAATTTAAGGTATAGATAAAGTCTCTTTTCATTTTAAAACATAAATTTAATATTTTATATTCACCATATAATAATTTCGAAAAGACTATAAGGAAGAAATTACATGAATTTAAGGTGTTTGAAATATTTTTCGAAGAATCTTCAGGTTCGAATTTTATACTTTGGCATTTTATGATAAAAGATAATAACTTATATAATTTTGGTTCTTTAGATCCTAATATCATTTATGTAATATCACATGCAGTCCATAATGACATATACATTCTTAAATTGGAATTAAATTGTAACAACACAAATGTAATATATTTTACATTAATTATGATAACAATGTTAAAAACTTAATTCCAACAAATTTATCAAATTTCAGATTCCTAAATTTGAAATTTACCATAAACTACTTGTTCCACAGAATTTCTTACTTATGTCTTTAGCATTTTGTCCACGCTACAACCTTTTAGTATGCGGATCACGAGAAAGCGGGTTAATAATATTTAAAATGGCGTATGGCATTACAGATAAAGAGCTTGATAAGTCTTCAATTGAGCTGTCGCCAGTAATATATCTAAAAGAGACACATGGAAAACAAGCAGTAACATCAGTTGCACTAAAATTTGATAGTTCTGAGAATAATAACAGAGATGATTTATTAACTATATACACTTCTGGGAGGGATGGTGGATATGTAAAATATAGATTGAAATGTTTGCCAACAATTGGCGAATCTTATAACAGTTCTGAGGAAGGCTTTAAGATAATGGAAAATTGTCTCTCTGGTGATTATTTGCTAGAAAAGGTTGAGAGTTATAAATCACTTTCTATAAACACTAATTTAAATTGTGCGTTTGAAGGGCAAGTAATTTCAGGATATGATTTAATATTGGAAGAAGTTTATAGAGCAAAAATTACTAAAGGATGGATAGAAGAGGTTATTATTAAAATCATGGTTTTACTATTTTTTCTTATTATTTCTGAATCTTAACCATATAATTGTATAAAGGTAATTCTTGTAGACGATGAATTGATATTGTTAGGGTTTTACAGGAAGCGATTTTTTGTATATAATGATACCAAAAAATTTGAGGTTCTTATTGCTGTCATATTTATATTAAGGTGTCAATCCAATCACTAACTCGTTTATAATTAAAGATGCTTTCAATTGCTTGTGGTGGTGCCCATCGAGTTTGGCATTTTAAGGCCCAAGATAAACGGATGAATAAAGCTAGTTTTATGTTTATCCGTAAGGAGAATGTAGCTAGATTTTTCTATTTTATTTTTGATTTCTTAATTTATCACTTTGATAGAATTTCTTAATTCATATATATATATAAAGATATTTATTTACTCGAGAGAGACTACGATGACAAATGAGGGATTTAATGAACGAAAATTACAAGAAAATTTTCATGGAAAAGAATGTAGAAATGTGAAATTTTTGCGTAAGTAAATTTATTCTTTCTTCTAGAATGATATAGAACCTTTTAATATTTACAAATTTATTTGTAAAAGCGTATCCTCTAAATGCTTCACATAATTATCATTCGTTCAAAACTGATCCAATTATATTTGCAACTGGGGCTGAAGACAGTTTGTTAAGGTTATTTCAGTGTAAGTCTATGCAAAACTTTTCGATAATACATATATGTTATAAGTTGGCTTAAAATTTGTATTGATATATAATTGTCATATAACATCAATTTGAATTTAATAATTGGTTAATTCTGGTTCACCTTAGATCCATCTATCTTAAAATACTAAATCAATTATAACATATACAAATTAATTTCAATTGATATATCTTATTTTAGACATACCTGGTGAGAAAGAAAATCACTTGCTTAGCTTGTGCAGTATTAAAAAGCATAGTTCAGTGATTAAGAACATAGAGTGGAGTCTTGGTAAATGGTTGTTTCTTATTTTTGTTGATCTTTAGCAAAATAATTGAGAATTATTTTTTACATTGTAGGCAATGAACTATTATTATTCTCATGTGGTGCAAGTGAAGAATTAACATGTTGGAAAGTTGAAATTAATGTTATGAATGACCAAAAAGGTACTTCAAGTACCTTATTTTCACAAGAGCAATTTTTTTTTCTTTTTAATGTTTTGTTTATTATAACTACATGCTTATTGGAATTTGATAGTACAAATGCCCTTTGTCAATGTAAATTGCCTAGAATGGGCATCTTGTCCTGTCGTCAGGTAATTATTAATCTAAGTCTAAAACAGACATATTTACCTTTTATTAAGCACTAAATTTCATCCTACCTATTTGTAATTATATTTTGTCTTCAGCGAAGTTCTAGAAACTAGAATAATGGATACAAGCATTTTTCCAATTAATACAAATATTGGACATCATATCATTGCAGCCGTATATTCTGATTCCATATTAAGGGTGAGTTTATCTTCCTAAATACGTAACGAAATAATAGTAATTATTATTAAAATTATATAGCTTATAATTAATTCAGGTTTGGTTATTTGACGAAAAGAAAAGAACATTCTTTTTAATTGGAATGGCTAAATTTCATAATAAATGTATTTTACAAGTAAAACATGTGGTTATTAAAGGTTATAGTTTTATAATTTATTATAACCTTTTTTGTATACCGGTAATTGCAGATGATTGGTATTAATTTTTTAAAATTTTACCTTCTATTTTTAGCAAAGGAATCAATGACCGAAGATGGCATACTATTATTCACATCAGCAACCGATGGCAGGTATGCTGTATTTTATTTTTTGACATCTTGAAATTTAATGATATTTATTCAAATTTCTTAATAAACGTATAGGGTCGCTATATGGGATATTTCACATTACGTTCATAGGTGTTCTGATATCTCCTAAAATACATTCTTTTGCTCTTATTATTTTATATTCTCATCATTTATTTGTTTTCAAATTAGCTTTTTAATTTCATACGCTACCAAAATAGCGTTCCAACACCACACACCTTTCGATCTAGGCACACCCATTTTCTCATACCAAGCGCACCAATCCGGAGTAAATTGTCTCGCACTTCATCACATGACTAATCCTGCTACTTCTAACTTCATAATAATTGTAACTGGCGGTGATGATAATGCTATAGCTGCTTTAGTTTTGGAATTCACATATAATGAAGTCAAAGGAATGGATTGTGGTATGAAACGTGGAAAATGGACCGTGGAACAATGCATAAATGATATTTTGAAAATGGATGTTGCACACGGATCGTCCATTCAAGGTGTTTATTTATTTGTTATGACAAATAAAATGAAATCGATTAAAATGAAATGCTGCATTATTTTAATTAGAACTTTACACGTCTCGATAAAATGTTTTGGAGTGCGCTTTTTGGGGATTTGGGTTAGGTTAAAGAATATATGTGGATTTAGGGATTTAAAAATCCTAGATTTCATCTTAATCTTATTTCATTTTAATCTGATTTCATTATGGTCTGCGACATTTGTTAATTTAATAATTTATTATTTTTTGTTCTTTTTTTAGGTATACACATGGTAAATGACACGACAATACTTAGTACGTCAATTGATCAGCGATTAAATTTATGGAACATTACGTTTAATAATTTATTCAATGACAAAATAAATAAGAATGATGAAAGTAAATTTGAGTTGATTAAATCGGAATTTGTTAATGTTTGCGATCCATGTTGTATGGATGTTTTAAAAATTAATAGTAGAAATGATAAAACAAACAAATTAATGGTGTCCATTAGTGGAATTGGAATAGAATTACTTCAAATTTAATTTATAATTTTATTATATTAAATGTTATTTTAAATCATTTTACGTATTATCTATAGCTATATATTTTCAAACGGAATTTCATTATAAATTTATATATCTAAACCATAGAGAAAATTTATATAGAATAAATCTATTAGTACTACATTTTGTGCTTTATAATAATAACAAGGGTCGCATCGCATAGATGCGGTTGCTGTCACGGGTGATCTTCATTTGACTTTAATTTTTTTTTTATTTTAGCGAATTATATTTTATTAAAGTAAATCATATGATTACATTAAATTAAGGTAAATAATTAAAAAGATTTGTAAGCTTGAAGATTTAATGTAGTTCCTGGAGTCCTCTCGTGTGTATTGCGTTTAGTCTTTTATATTCATTTAAAGCGGCTTTTGGTGATATTAGATATTTGTAATCGAAGTTAATAATACGGAGGTTTTTCCAGGATGTTGCACGGCTCATTGCGACATAGGCCTGGCCTTCTGCAAATATGGTTTCGTCGACGGATGTAGTTACATAAGGTAAGGTTAAGCCTTGTACTTTGTGAGCGGTGAGTGCAAAGGCATTTTGAAGTGGGAATTGTTTCCTTGATGCTCATTTTCCGTCTATATTGAAATAAGATATTTCTTTTTGGACAATGACTTTAATTAGGTTAGTAAAGGTGAGAAAAGTTACTTCTATGTTCTGATTATCAACGATTTTCGTTACAATTCCAATGGAGCCATTACAGATGTCATTATCGAAAAGTTTATTATTTAGGAACATGACACATGCTCCTTCTTGTAGGTTGACAGTATGAGGTAGGTTTGTTAAGTGTTTAAAATGGGTTATTGAGTGATTTTCGTTTAGAAGTTCGAAGTTCAAAGTATCTTCGGATGTAGAAATAAGAGGTTCACTTGTTATATAATCGAATGGTAGATAGCTACACAAAAGCTGGTTTATGTTGTTAGTGGCTTGACGTGTACTAACTATGTGAGTAGTACTGTAGAATTCAGTAGAGTCGGTATTCGTGATGATTTTTGATTGAATAATGGATTTAGTTTTATTTGATAGGTGATTGATTTGTATCTCTTGTAGAACATTATAAAAGTTGAGATCATCTTGTTGATGTTGTGGAGTTTTTAAGAATAAGGGGAAGAATGGTGACCAGGCTAGGGATTGAAAAACATATTTAGGTTTTACTGGAGGTAGTTGAGCTAAGTTGCCTACTACTAGAGTCGGTATTCTTCCAAAGACAAAATTATTGTCATGAATTTTGGTGAAGGTGTTGCTAGCAAAAGTGAATAGATCTTTATCTATTATTGAGATCTCTTCTATTATTATGAATTCTATTCTTTTTAGTTCAGCTTCATTGGAGTGAATTAAGGTTTCATATCTCCTGTCATGATATCAAATTTTTAATAATAAGTATAATGTTTTGTCACCAATGTTGTGAGCTGTGACACTAGTAGAGATCATTAATAGATATTTTTTTTCTTTGTTTGAAGAAATAAAGTTATTTGATATAGTAAAAAAGATTTTCCAGTACTAGCTAGGCCTGTTAAAAAAAATACAGATATCTTCCTTCAGATAATTTTCCTCACATATTGGATAATATTGAGTAAATATTATATTGATTCATATCTAGAGTTAATAAGAAATAGGATTTTAAGCTAGGGTGATGTTTTTCTAAAAAGAGAAATTGATTAAAAATCAGATCAGACAAATCACAATTTTCAAATTCTTGTAGAAGAGAATTTATTATAGAGATATACGATTTGGATAAACAATTTTTCTGTTCAATATAGCTTCTGCGAAGTGATCTAGTTACTTGATTGTATTTTATAAGAAACATTGATCAGAATTTGTCTTTATACATTTCAAAATCTTCAAGTAGTTCTTGTTTGGATCTTACAGGAATTTTTATGATAAAATGTTGAAAAAAAAGGATTCTTCGTTTTTAATATTGTAAATAGCAAATCTTAGTAGAATCGGAGTTTTTTATTAAATAACTAATCTATTTTTATAGTCTCGACAGTAAAATAGGTTGAAACATTGACTTGGTTGTTTGGATCTGAAGGTATAATTGCGAAAATAATCTGGATATATAATGGAGTTCAAGTTCAGATGATCGAAACAGTCAAAATATTTGTCAATCGTATTGTCCTAATACGAAAGTTCATTGTTATCATTGTTATCATTACCGTTGTTATTTAATTGAGATAGAAGGTAGATTGGCTTAACAGATCTAGGCCTAAGTTTAGAGGATGTGGATAGGAGAAAAAATACAAAAACAGAACATCTTGTCAAAGGGTATTGTAATAATAGGACTATTAGTTCTATAGCACTTAATCTTCATGCTATAATATGTCTTCTGTATTCATCATTTTTAAAGATATCAAAGAGTTCTGAAGATTCTGGTTTGGTAACATATTTTGTTATGTACTTGGCAAATCTATTTGATATAACATACTGAAAATTGATATGCTCTTTCTAAATTAATAGGGTTTTAGGGTGGTAAGAAATGATGTTTCTGTCTTTTTGTTTAGTACGATAATATATGTAACATAAATTGTTTGGAGAATAGTATATTCTTTCTGATAAAGGCTAGAGAA